TTGAGGTCCTAGGGGAAAAGGTGATCACATGCTTCCAGATGTTGGGTGAAGAAGAAGAGAGAGCAAGAAGGGCTGAAAGTTCCTTGCTTTATACTCGCTGTTCGGCCCCACCTCTCTGTTTCCTGTTCCTGTGTAAGAAATGTATTCTGATTGGTTGTCAGACTCCCATGGGGCCATGCAGGGGCAACTCTCTAGGCTCTGGTTTGAGTCCAGGTTTGAGTTTCCAGACGCCATGTGGTGAGTGGGGTAAAGGGCTAATACGATCATGCCTTAATCCCATCACTCTGGAGCTGAAGGGGACAACTCTTTATTATGTAGTATAGACTGGCTTGGGAATCTTAATGGCTCATTAAGAAAAGTGGGGGCTATTAAGAGTGTGTCTGTTTCCTGCCTAAAAACATGTTTTTCCATTTCTGATCCAGGGAAATGTAATATTCTGCCTTTTCAACATTTCCCAGGATATCTAGGAGAGGGCTGGGTGCTAACTTCCTACAACCGGTTCTCTGCTCTAATGACCGGCTAGGTAGGCATGGCTGGCTGGTCATGTGACTGGGTGGGTGTGGCCAACTCAACATCACACATTTTACTCCATACCATCCCCCCTCCCATTTTCCCACAATAGAAACAGCATAGTAGAATAATAGAAAGTGTGGCAGGCCAAAGATCCAAAAAGGAATATGGCTGTAAGCCTGACAGGCGGCCTGTCCTCAGAAGAAAAACGGTTCCTGAAAGAGATTAATGTAGGGGTTAACATAACAGAATTAACCACCTCTCCCCCCCCTACCCCTGGGGGACCCTTTGGCTTATCTGTAAACTTATCATGAAATTGTTTTACTAACTTATCTGCTTTTAGGTTCCAGCTTTACACCCAAGTAGCTTCGGACAAAGGGTACCCCTTCCAATGTACTAAATACTGTAAGCAACCCCTATACAGCCTGGAGTCTAAGATTCTTTTCACCTCATAATGTGTTTCCCCTTCTATCACTACAGGAGGAGGGGGAGCTTGTGTGGATGGTCTTATGCTGGACCCAATTATTGGCTTCAACAAGCTACAATGAAATACTGGGTAAATTTTCCCTAGAATTCTGGGTAGACTGAGTTGATCTTTAACTGGGTTAATTATCCTCACTATTGGGAATGGACCTAGAAATTTTGGGCCCAATTTCTTGCTAGGCATTCTTAATCTTATGTATTTGGTAGATACGAAAACTTTGTCCCCCACATGAAAGAGGGGTTGGAGCGAGCGGTGTTCATCAGCTTGTTTCTTGTACTCTTTCTTTAGNACTTAATAAAAGGTTGCTTTTGAAATACTCTGTTTCTAGAGTCTTCACTTTCTTAAGCTAGGAGAGGAACCCTTACAGTAAATCCCCTTCCAACATAGCTACTTGAAGTTCCATTAGTAGGTTGCCAAGTTCCCTAGGTTTCTAATAGGCTCTGTTAGGTATTTTGGGAAAGCTATCAAGTCTTTTGAACAATGCATTCTCCACTGCTTCTGCTGAGCCATAGCATTCATCAAGTCTGTCCCAGATTGTTTTAAGGCCTGTTTTGGGGTAGTTTATGTTTATTGTCCTGATTTGTTTTGCATGCTTAGCAGTTTCAATTCCAAGCCATTTAATTATTAAATTGATCTCCTCACTATATGACAAATCTAAGCCTCTGATGGCATTTTGGAAGGAAGATCACCAGGCGCTATAGCTTTCAGGACGATCATTACACTTTTCAAGTCCTTGTGTGACTAGCTCACGTCATGCAAGGAACTTGGCAAGGTCTATGGTGGCTTGATCAGCCAATTGTGCATTGCTGTGGTGAAAAGGTGTTGTGTAGTCATACATTTTAGGAGTCTCTGGCTTCAACTGGTCCTTTCTATGTTGCTGTGGCATGAAGGCTGATCCTGTAGGATAATTTGCAGACTCAAGTACCTTGGGTGTGGGGTGTCTGCTATTAGCCTGTAGTGGTACTGAGTAGCTGTCAGGCCTGCAGTCATATTCCTTTTAGGATCTTTGGCCTGCCACACTCTCTCTTATTTTATTATGCTGTTTCATTAGTAGGGAATTGGGAGGGGGAATAGTAAGTAGTAGAAAGTTGTTGTCAAAATAAAACATTCCTTTCTAGAAGCCCAAGGTCATTCTTTGTCTCCACACTTCTGCACCTGACCGGAACTAGATGGGTGGAAATGCCAGTGTGGCAGTGGAAGATTGGACCATGTGATG